TGTGTCTATGTTGACCAGTTTTTTTATAGTGATAGGATTAAGACTTAACTACTCTAAAGAACATTTTAAACATATTGACCAAAAAAAAGAGAAACTTATTAAAAGTTCTAAAACTTTTGGAAAGGGATTTATATTTATAATTTACCTAACAAAATATATTTTTTTTTCTTTCTTTGAAACTCATACCTAACAACATAGTTAAAATGCAAAAAGTCATATAAATATCCGTCTGAACAATTTCTTGTCGCCAAGGACGAAAGAGATCGGGATCTTCTAAAGATGAATTGTAAGTTATTTTTCTGTTTAGAATTCCAAAAAAATCAAATAATCAGTTGTTAGTTGGTTTAGTTGTCGAGTGGTTTGATTTTCTTACATGAAAATTCATGGGATAATATGTTTCAAACAAAAAAAAAATTTATGGGATAATTACAAAAATGCCACTTTTGAAGTGCCACTTTTCAAAAATTCAAAAATACCACTATAGGTTTTCTATTTACAAAATACCACTAATTAAAAAATTTTAAATCCTAGATCTTAAAATTATAAACCTTAAAAAATATTTTGACCACAAACAAGCCTTAAACTCTCAAACTAAACCCTAACACAAGTATACAACATAGTTAACCCAAACATAAATGATATATTGAGTAAATAATTTTGAAAAAAATGACATTTTTAAAAAGTAACACTTCAAAAATAACATTTCTCAAAAATTCTCAAAATTCATTGTTTGCTATCTATATACAAGCTTCAAACAATATTATATCTAGAAAACCCGGATAAATCACAAGTGTGTAATGGAGATTTTTTTTTTCTAAATTGTAATGAAGATTTTGTTAATTATCATTATTGTTAAAAGCTTATTCAACATTTTACCCAGTGAGAAATTAAATGGGGCAAATATAAAAATTCAGAATTTTATTTTTATATTCTTTTTAAATAAACGAATATATTTAATTAATGTAAACTTTGTTATATAAAATGTTCAATATGTTTATTTGTAAAAGAAATTAATTATATTAAA